TTGGTTGGTTGGTTGGTTGGTTGGTTGGTTGGTTGGTTGGTTGGTTGGTGAGAAAAAGTTTCATGCATCCCCAGCTGACCTTGAACTCACTGTGTAGTAGTGGAGGAATCCTTTGAGCTTCTTATCCTCCAGCCACTACCTCTTAACTGCTAGAATTACAGATGTTCCTGATTTGTGTGATGCTGAAAATTGAACCCAAGATTTAAACACGTCCTTTACCAACTGATCTGTATCCTCAACCTTGGTTTTTGGTCTTCAGAAACAAGTTCTTGCTCTAGTCCAAGCTAGCCTCCAACTCGAGTCTTCCTGTGTCCACTCACTAGGTGCTGTGGCTGCAGGTGTATGACCCACACCCAGCCTGCAGTTCTTGTTTAAAATCACATTTCGCTTATTTGCTTCCTATTTAGATACTGATTTGCATAATTTTCTCCCATTTAGTGCTCAGAGTATTGTTCAGGACTGCTATACTTGCAGAAAGTTGGCAAGGCTTGGAAACTATGCTTGGCTGTTGTTTATGGATAGAGGCACTGGTCCCCTGTGATAGGCAGCCGTGCCATCAGACACCCCTGCTTTCATTGTGTCCTGCCCTGCAGCCTCACTCAGAGTGATCCCTATCCAGCCCAAGCACCTTAAAGGTCTAAAATTAGCCATCTCCTGATGAGCTTTGTCTGCTGGTATCCTCCTACAGCTTCCCAAATCCTCCTTCCCAGGAAAGATGAGTGGAGGCAGACTAAGACCCAGCCGCTCAAGGTGACATTGCTCCCCAGTGCGGAAAGGCTCTGCTCCCTGGTGCCCAGGGCCCTGCTGTGCCACCACAGCCTGCATGACAGTTTGAGGGGCCCAGGGGATATTCAGGCCCTGTGAGCCAGAAGGTTGTTAGGACTCTGATTTAAGAACTGATACTGCTCAGTGAAAAGAAGACTTGGGTTGTTTGATTGGTTGGCTGGTTTTTCCTCTGTCTTTTCATAAAGACAGTAGATTGGATTTGGCATTTGTTGAAACACGTCACATATTTCCTTGCAGGGGAAAGCCATCAGATGTTCACGGGGTTTTTTCACTGTAGGAAAGTTGTGAAAGTTTCTTTTTCTCAGGAAGGTTTTGAACTTGAAACAAAAATAGTACTTCCATTTTCTTCTGTCTTAAGGGCAGCCTTCTGGAGGAAACTCTGTCAGTTTCAGAATTCTTCAGCCAGTGATTCATGGGCTCTGGTGGATCTATGTAAAGCACATTTACCAAGCTTGCATTTACAATGCGCAGGGTGAGGTTCCTCCTCTAGGCTAGTGTTTGCAGGTACTGTGGCCTTGGGCTGCAGACATGCCGGGGACACATAGCTGAGGGGTCTTTGTGGGTCTCTCGGCCACAGGGAAGGTGGAACTGCAGCGTGGACTGCAGGCTGTGTACCGCGCCATGCCTCTGATATGGAGACCAGGCTACCTTGACAGAGCCCTTCAAGTGATGGAGAAGGTGGCCTCCTCCCCTGAAGACCTCAAGCTGTGTAGAGAAGCGGTATGTTCCTGCACCTCCACTCAGGTGGAGCCATCACTGTTCGTCTGGGTGGTGTGAATTTTTTCTGTTGTCTTTCCCCTTCCCCAGCTTTCTGTATTTGTGTAGAATTGGTATTTATTCAATTGAAAAGGATGAAAAGAAACCGCAAACATTTTCAATGTTGCTGACAGAAAGGCAATGGAAAATAAGATTATTCTTGATTCCTACCTCATTATGTAAGAGGAAAGCTGTCTCCTCTCCTGAAATTCAAACTCAGCTCAATAAATACCATCCTCTTCCATCCCCAACCCCCATCCAAAAGGAATTAAAGGTGGCATAAGAGAAAGATAAAATAATTTTGATGAATTTATCCCTCATGCAGTCTGGAAAGATTAGATAGCAATTTTCTTTAATATCCTGGCTGTTGGTATTTGCCTCACAAATATAGTACCTAAGTTCAGATCCCCACAGCAGCCTAAAATGCGTGCATGCCGCAGGGTGGGAAGCAGGGAGACATGGCTCACTGGAGGCTTACTAGCTAGCTAACCTAGGCTACTAGGTAAGGTTCCAAGCCAAGAGCCCCCATTTCAAACAAAAAAAGCAGAAAGTGCCCAAGAATGACTCCTGAGATTGTCTTCTATAGTCCATGTGCAGACACATGAACAGCCACTCAGTCCTCATCAGCCACACAGAACATGGATGCTGGAGAAGACTTCTTCCTTCCCATTGGACTGGCTGTGGTACCTGAGTGATGCTGAATCTTTGTCCTGTGGTCCTGCCAGCAGTCTAAGGTGTTCACGTGGCCTGTCTCCAACAGTGGCCTCCTACCTGTGCCAAAGTTCATTTCTCAGTCACCTAAACCCCCTGACACACTGAGTTCACTAGGCATAGCCAGACTGGGAAACATAGTGGGCTTTACATCGAACACTGAGCTGTAGTGTTCCCACCCAGCCCTGCTGCTCTATCCAGAGAGTCCCAGACACTGTCTTATCAAAATGAAAGGTTGCCTTGGAGCTACTCGTGTGTGAACTTGACCCTGAATACACTGAGGCTCACCCGAAGCTTTCGTTTCCGTCAGGAGACACTTGGCCCAGTGTCTTCTGTGACACCTTATGCTGAGTGAATCCTTTACATTCTTCCTAGCCGTCATAGCCAAGGATGCACACTTCTCTCTCTCTCTGTGTGTGTGTGTGTGTGTGTGTGTGTGTGTGTGTGAGAGAGAAGCTGGCTGTATTCAGTGTTGGTAATTGAAAACACAAACTTACATATAAATCCTTCACCAGGGATAATTCCTTCTAATTTCAGCCAACTTTGCATTCTTTTTATTCTAATTTATAGGAATGTATTCACATGTCAGCAAGAATGTGATGTATATCCAGTTTGTCCATAAAGTATTAAAAACAATAAAGCCTTGGAGTAGCGTTGGTGCTTTGTTCTGCTGTGACACTGATGAGGTCAATTGGTGTCCAAGCAGGTGCTTATGCGGGCCTGCTACTATCTCCTCCCGCCTCTGATGACCCAGCCCTGCACGGGTTAAGGAGGTGTGCCACACAGTGGAGGTGGAGTAGTAAGAGAACCAAACAAAAAGAACCTCCATGTTTTCAGTTGTTTACTATTTAAGTCCCAGAAACCCCCTCGTTAGAATGAATTTCCTGTGTGCATCTCTGGCCACGACCAACAGCTTATGTGGATTAGACAGATCCCTAATTTATAATACTCCATGAGCTGGAATCTTCTGGGGGTGAGGGGGTGCCTATAGCCCACGGCTTTAATGTGCATTCAGAGTGGCCTTTTGTTGTTTGTGGTCTGTGGTGGTCTTTTCTTTCCCTTTGTCCCAGTTCCAGACTGACTCCAAAGAAAGACATGAAAGTGGGGGCGGTCCTTTAATGCCCATCAAATGTAATTCCTGCCTCCCTACCTGGTTAATTAAAAACATACTTAATTTACCATTGTACTGATTCGCTCCTACAGAGAATTCTTAGCTCATGTCTGTAGCTTTTGTGATATACTGAGCTCCTCGTGCTGTATGAGAGGTGTTGCTAATGTGTAAAAATATACTTGTTGTGTTTCCTTCTTCTTCCTTGTTTGCAGCACTGGGGATTGGACTCAGCATTTCATGCATGTTCAGCCGTTCCAATAACCTCTCGCTGTTACCATCCTCAGTCTTGGGGGTCTCCCTTTTCCTCTTTTCTTGTCTCTGGCTTTCACAAAGTCAAGCCCATAACAGATGATGTCATTCTGACAGCTCAGTGTGCTGGACGGAGTCCTGAAGGTGGTGTCATCTCCAGCTGACCAGGCCTCAGAGACTCAGCCCCAGGAAGGTGAAGGTAGCTTGGGCTCAGCAGATCTGGTGGAGCAGCTGGACATCGAGGAACCAGAACATTCGAAGCTTCCCCGGTACCTGGAGCGATTTAAGGTGATTGAGAGCAGAAACTGAGCCTCTCCCAGCCGTGCATGAACATGCTTCTCTGGTGATGGCCAGGCAGTCTTCTCCTGCAGCGGTCCTACACAAAGGCATCAAAACTCACATCAAGAACTGCATTTGTGTTGCTCCCCACAGGCCGTGGCCTTAAGAGAAACAGGTGGAATTTTTGTGAGTTTACCCTAATCAGTGACGGTGTTGTTCACTAAGGCAGCATGCATCCCCAGTGATCCCTCATGTGTCTGACGGGTGGATAATGCCTTTCCTCCTCTTAACAGTGGCCTGACTCCTTTCCAGTGTGGAAAGTGTCCGGTCATCTCTCTCCACTGCACACACATGCAGCTAGACATCAGTCACATTTTCAGCATGCAGCAATAAGACTGAGGCTTCCTTTGTGGCTCATGGCAGCTTTGTGCTTTCAGGGGGGCATTAGAGGCACTACCTGACACTACACGCATATGAAACAGGTTTCCGGAACAGCACTGAGCCCTCAAGCTGGCCTTGAACTCTGTGTCCTAAAATGCTCACCATCAGTGTCAGAGAAGAAAACCCATGCCCCCCCCCTTTCATGAAGAAATTATATTATCAAGTCATCATATAATTATCAAGTCATCATATAAGCAGAAGAATTTTCCACCCGTGCCAGCTGACCAGCTGTACCTTTCACACTGGGTAGGAGAAATGTTGCTGGACTCTGACACTTGAGTCTGTGTCTTCTGAAGCAGCCATGGGAAGCCTTTCCTCTTATCATAGTGGGATCCCATTATATTGTAGACAGTTGTTTCTCCCAGCACGTTTTTAAGGAAGTCATTGCCCAGCTCTCTCCTCTGTAACTTAAAACTGGGAGTTAAAAAAAAAAAAAATAGTGTTCCCATCATACCCTGAGAACAAAGCAAAGTAGAGAATTTATACACAGTCCTTCCCTCTTAACAAAGCTTAAAGAAAAAAGTCTCCTTCACCCTGCAGGTTCTCATTCACCATGTTCTCATTAACAGTTCCTGAGTTTCGGCATCAAAGGATGGACATCTGTGCCTTCATTAACTTCTCAGCCCTCGTACCTCCACAGGACACCTCATGACCGTTCAGAAAGGAGCAGAAGCGAGTGCTTGTAGCCCTGCTAGCTGTGACCTCAGCCATGTCAGCCCCACTGCTCTCCCTTTGTCCTCACTGGACGCCTGGGGAGACAACACTGAACCTGTCCGCAACTGAAGTTGACTTTGGACAAAGCTCTGCTCCCTCACGGTTGAGATTCTGTTCTGTGTCCCTGGCTATCTCTTTGGCTTCAGACTACCTGGAAAATGATATCAGAGAGAAATCACTTTCGGTTTACATTTCCTTTCCTTCCTGTTACCTGATGTTCATTAGTCTGAGGTGATCTGTTTGGGGCTTAGTTCTCTGTGATTAGACCTGCCTGCCCCTTGGAGCTTATGGGCCGTCCCTCCTCCCACCATTCTTGCTGACCAGGCCTTATCCTGTCCACTACATCACCTCGGGTTGAGAACATGGACATCTGCCTCTAAACTGCAGCTGGGGCCCTAAAAGCCACGCTCTGGTGATGTACATCTTGAAGCACTTAAGTAGATTAATGCTTTTTAGTACTTCAGCGGGAATACTGTGCTGACCCAACCAGGGTGCCATCTCAGATGGAGCTGTAAGCAGGCGGGAGGTAAGGGTGATCTGCCGGGGCGCCCAGCAGGTGGAGGCCTGCCCTGCGCACGCACTTGTGGGAAGTTGCTGAAATGAATCCCATCTGTTGAAAGGAGCCAAGAGTAGGGACTGAAGTCACGTAAACAAATAGACAGGGATGAGCCGGCTCTGGCTTCAGAAGTCTCTGCCATCTTGTTAGCGTCCTAGAATCCTGTTACCTGGAGCTCCCTGCTCGGTTAGGGCAGGCCGCGGTGGACCTGTGGATTACACCTCTGCTGTTCTCGTGGCTTAAATAAGAACCGAAAGTGATTCAGGGAGTAGGGGCAGTGGAGTTGTGCTTTGTGAGAAGGTGGCGTGATTACATGTGCTGTGGCCCTGGCTTTGTGTAACTGCTGAGCTGGAAAAACCAGCTGGAGGCAGCTGCACCTGGAGGAGAGGCCTGGGAGCTTCCTGCAAAGCAGCCTTCCTGCAGCAGATTGTGTGGCTGCTTAGCAGAGGATTTAATTGCTTCTCATTTCCTCTTTTTCTCTCACCTTATCTTTTCTCTCCCTTATCTTTTCATTTTTTTCCTTTTGTTTCCAACAGGCCTCTCAGTCCAAACTGCAGGAGTTGGGCAGGATTGAGTCAGAAGGTCTCTTGACTCTGACCACCCAGCTTGTGAGAGAGAAACTCCCCGCATGTGAGGCCGAGGACCTGGCCACTTATGAGCAGAAATTGCGTGAGTGGCACCTAGAGCGGATGCAGCTGATCCAGAGGGAACAGGAACAGAGGGAGAGAGCAAAGCAAGAATACCAGTCGCTGAATGCAGCAAAGACTGCAGCCTAAAGGGCCCCAGGCTGGCCCTGCTGGAGTCAGGACTGCGTGGACCACCCCAGCGTTATGCACTGACAGGATGGGAGTCAGCCTCTGCTGTCCAGCTTCCCCTTTTTCACAGCCTGAAAGCCACAGAGTGCAGCTGACTGTCAGGGCACTGTCTGCCCATCCAGATGTCAAGAGCCAGGAAACTGAGAACGAGGCGAGTGACTGGGCCGAAACCACCAGCTGAATCTCTAACGGGCCTTCAGGGCTCACAGTGGAGTCCTGGGAAAACTTTCACAGTGTGAAAAGTTCCCCGTATCTGGTGCGGGTGATGGAAGACTCTATAGCTGAGGCTGCGGCGCAGGGTCTGGGTGGCACATCTGCCTGTTCTGAGACCTTGTGCCTCATAGTCCCCTGGCCAGTGCAGATAGCCTGGTGATTGGGCCCCGGGTGCTCAGACATCCCGCTGCCTCTTTCCCCCGACACCCTGCCCTCCTCTTTCTCCTCTGGGAGAAGCCCAGCTTGGGTCTCCAGATCACAGCCTCACTAGATGTCTGGTTGTAGGAATCCATGGTGACCCTTACAGAATGCAGGGGCTTTGGAGAAGAAACTTGGCCCTGGGTGAGGTCTCTGTGATCCGGCTTCTTCAGCATATTAGACTAACTTTTTCTCACACATTGTCAGAAATAAAAAATGAACCTGTATACACAGACAACTTTAGGGCAAACTTTTCTAATAAAGGAGAAAAGGAGAAGGCATGAGACTTGGAGTGCATAGGGATGGAATCAATGCGGACTGTCAGAGGTGGAACAGTAATATTCCTGGGAGCCTTTCTGGGAGAGGGTCATTACACATTGCCTGATGTGTAATGCTGCCCTTAAGTGCAGTGGTGCATCTGTATTCAAGATTGTATTCTTCTGTCAAAACCTGTAGAACACCAAAATAATCACAGAAAATTTATCTTTGGTGAAAAGGAAGGAAAGAGGAATCTGGCCCTTAATTTTACTGTTTTGAACAGCACATTTTAGCCCTCGTCCATCAAACTATGACAGTGTAATAACAGTCATTACAGTCCTCAGAGACCTGCGGTGAGGTGGCACCATTATCCCCATGCTGTAAGGAAAGAGGTAAAGCAGCTGCTGCTGCCCCAACCCACATGGTCTCCCTCGTGTCTGACCTCCTGGGTCCTCCAGGCTAGCAGCACTGACTCGGGTCACCAGAAGTCAGGGCTGGATTCTGGTTGACCAAAGGCAGAGTTGTCTCGGCCATTCCTTTATAGATTCAGGATAAATCCAGCAGCAACCAAGGAATGACTGTTGCTATTGAAGCATCTTGTTCATTCTTCTTCCCCTAATCCCCCTATTGCAGTTCCGGTCCTCGCCGGGCCGGAGCCCGTGACTGTGTCTTCATGCTGGGAACTCTTCGCTCACCTTCGCACATCCGTCTCCTAAACTCTGATGCCGTCCTGTCTCACTTGACAACTGAGCTTCTAGCTGTATGTCCTCTGTCCTTCCGCTGGTGTCTTCTGTGCAGTCGACAAACTTGTTGATAACGTCACCCATTACAGGCTTCCCTCCTAGCTCGGGCTGGGAGAACCTGGGGCCAGCTATCCAAGGTCTTAGTTTCGAGGTGCCTTTCTCAGCTTTTAGCTCATACCATGGCCCCTTTTGAACCAGCTTTCCCTGTCCCTCCCACCGACAGCCCTTTCGTCACCCAAACTTGATCCTCACGGTCTGGATCCTTACTTGCCTCCCTCCAACCCGGGTAATTCCTCATGTTGTGGTGACCCCCACCCATAAAATTTTGTTACTACTTCACAACTAATTTTTCTACTGTTATGAATCATAATGTAAATATCTGATATACAGAATAGCTGAGATGTCCCGTCCCCCCCCCCCCCAGAGTGGCCATGACCCACAGGTCGGAAACCACTACGTTAGCTTCTTTCCCTCTCTGTTTATTTGGACCCACTTAGCTTCCATGGACCTAAGCAGCCATAATTGTGTTTCATAAAATTATCTGTTGAGGCCCTAGTCCCCAGTACCTTGGAATCTAGCCTTAGTTGGAGATAAAGGTCTTTTGTGGAGGGAATCAGATTAAAGTGGGATTGCTAACCTCTGAAGACTGGTGTTCTTTAAAGGCGAGTGTGATACAGAGACAAACATGGTGCAGAAGGAAGGCCCCATGGAAACGGGTCAGGTGCTGGTAAGTGCACCAGTGATGAGCCTGGAGGCCCACCAACCTCTGCATGGAGGAGAAAGGGAGGAGTTTCTCCTGGAGGCTTTAGACGGCTCAGCCCTACCATGACTGGATTTTTGAGCCTCCAGAATGTTCTGTCAGTTTCTAAGCCCCTCGATGTTTGGTTCTTTGTAGGAGTGCCATAGGAGTAATTGATATATCATAATTGATTTTCTTCCTGTCTGCTTCTGAGCCAGTGATAGTGCAGAGTGATAATTTGCTAATTCAGTTCCTCTGCACAGTTACGGCTGTGCTCTGGAATCGTTGCTCATTTTGTTTAGTGACAGACTTCATTCTGACTTCAGTCCTTACCGGGAGAGCTGAGGATATGTCTTCTACTTTGTCAGGAAAATAGGGTCACATCACATAGCCTTGCTCTCTCCCTTCTCTCGCCCTCAAGGGTACCCTAACCTTACCATTTCTCTCCACCATCTCCCCTCTTTCAACTGATAACTTACTATCCTCTTCCTCCTGTTTGTGGTATCGATCCATGCTTGGATGCTCTGGGGACCGTTGAGAATTCCTTTCTACATGGCGTCATCTCTAGTGACATCCCCCATCTAGGTCTGATTTAAATGCCCCTCCATCCTATCCTATTAATAGTAATATAATATTAACCTATGGGTTAATACCAAGCTCATTCCTCTCCTTCCTTATCTCAGCCTCAACGCCGACCAGCTGGTGGTTTATTGATTAGACCTGGGGAGTTTGGCTTTCAGCCCTATCAGTCCATTGGTGCGACTTGGTTTCCAACTGCAGCTGATTATCTCTTCATGAGCTCCTGCACTTGGCCTCAGCAGCCACCGCCTGATGAACTTGTGGTCTGCATCACATGCATTCTATGCACGGCTTTTTGTTAGCATGTCCTGAATGCAGTGCACCATCCTAATGCTGTGGAACAGCCAGTGTAATACAGATCTACCTTCAGATAACGTAGGTTCCAGGGGCCGGAGAGATGGCTTAGTGGTTGAGAGCACTGGCTGTGCACCTGATCTGGTGCCCTCATTTGGCCTGTTTGAGCAATCAGGCACACATGTACACAAACATACACGCGGGTAAAACGCTCACACACTTAAAACTGAAAACAACTAAATCTGTAAAGATAATGACATTTCAGGGGCTGAGGAGGTTGGCTGTCCCCATCAGTCAACACACAGCTGAGAGGTGTCAGACACAGGTAAAGTGATGGGGAGCTTCAGAAGAGCTGGGCAGGCAGGGAGACGGACAAGCACCCGTGAGGGGAAGTGCCTGCTTTGTGCTTTAATTACCTCCCCACCCATGTGCCACAAGCTGACATCTGTAGATGGCCCTCATGAGCACAGTCCAGTGCAGAGTAAATGTGCTCTGGGGAAAAAAAGCATTTTAAATTGAGTAAAAATGAACAGTTTGAGCCCATACCCTACTCACCGCACTGAAAAGGGAAGTAGAAAACAACAGTGAAATACAGATGCTTTGTGTCCTTCCCTCGGGGCTTTGAGGGCACCAGCCTTTGCACTGTGTTCTATTCGCTTTTACTGGGCCATCAGTACCCCATGGGAAGATTGTAGATTGTGAGTGTAGATGTGTGTGTCATACATGTACCCATTCACAAAGGTGTGCACACATGTGCATATGGAAACCAGAAGCTGGTGTTGGGTGTCTTCCTCTACCATGCCCTTTCTCACTGGGCATGAATTCAGCTAGACTGGCTGGCCCATGAGCTCCAAGGATCCATGTCTACACAGACACACAGTACTGGGGTTATAGGTGTGGACTGTACTGATTTGGATTGTAACTCAGGCCTTGTTTGCACAGCAGGCTCTCTACCCCTTGCTCTTTAGGCTAGCCCGAGGCTGTAGACGTTGTGAGAAATCACCAATGGCCTTGAAAATGAACAGATTACAGCTCCTTTTCTTGCTGAAAACCTCCAGCCCTGCCTGACAGCCTCCTGGTTTTGCTTTCCATACTGATAACTCATCCTGCTATTTTGTTTTGTTTTGTTTTGTTTTGTTTTTGTTGTTTGTCTTTTACCACAGCCGTGGTGCCCTTTGGGGAATCTTTAACCGCTGCAGAAAATAAGTATATATAAATGGCTGCTGAGGTGGAGCAAGGAATTAGAACTGGGTATACGGAACATTTTTAGAAGCCCCATGTTTTGGGGGGGCCAAGTGGATGCACTCTGAAGTTCAGGAGGAAGCAGGTTTCCTGCCTGTGTCAGAACAAGGATGTGGAAGTGAACCTGGCAGAGACGCACCCCACGAGGACTATCACCACCTGCTTCTCTTGCCTAGAGATGCTTGAGGCTCTCGTAACCAATGCCAACAAACTGGGGTTTGAACTATCTCCTGTGAGCTCTGAGCCGCCCCTTAAGGGCCCTCTCCCAGCTACATTCTGATGACCTTGAGTGGTATGCTTCCTCTGCCTCTGTGGAATATGGCCCTCTCCTGGCTCTCCTGGCTTCCTGTGACATATCCATCACTCCGGCAGGCCTGTTTTCCTGGGGCTGTCTGTAGCTCCTGATGACCAGACCGAGTCAGGAGTCTCAGCTTTGCTCTGTGCCGGTCTTCTCTATCGCTCAGCTATTCTGCTTTGGTAGGTAAGGCAGAGTCTTGCTATGTAGACCAGGCTAGCCTCGTGCTTAAGATCATCCATCCTCTGCCTCCCGAATACTGAGATTGTAGTTGTGTGCCCTGGAGAAGTGGGCACCATTTGGAACCAAATGAAGCCAGTGAAGAGAAGAGAATACTCGCTTTGATTTCCTCCTTGCCTGACTTCCCACTGCCACAGATTGGAGAGATTGACCCAGGAGCCCACCCTCGTTCCTCTAGGTTTTTATGAGCCATCCTCATGGCACATTTGCAGGACCCCTTTGCCTGTCAATGCCTATCCATTTTATGAATTCTGAATAAATTTTCTGAACTCATCTGTGAAAGTCACCAAACTTTAAACTCCATGACAGCAGAAGTTCTTGCCTTCTAAATTACTGTAGCCAGAGAACAGTCATTGCCACCAGAAAAGCACTTACATTTACTGAGTAAAATTTCCTCTAAGGTTGAAAGTCTGAATACTGAGCTGTATTCTCCCACGAGAACTACTGACACACTCACAGCCATATATATATGGCTTTATATATATATATATATATATATATAGGCCTTAACCACAAGGAAACTTGTGAATAATTCAGGCCAGGTGAAATGTCAGGTAGAGGGGCTGGAGAGATGGCTCAGAGGTTAAGAGCATTGCCTGCTCTTCCAAAGGTCCTGAGTTCAATTCCCAGCAACCACATGGTGGCTCACAACCATCTGAAATGATGTCTGGTGCCCTCTTCTGGCCTGCAGAATACTGTATACATAATAAATAAATTAAATAAATAAATATTTTAAAAAAAGAAATGTCAGGTAGAGGTTTTATAGGGAGGGAGAGCATTATCACTGTCTCACTTATATCCTACTTACGTGCTTACCTACCTCCAAGCAGACGACTAGGAGGTGAAGAATCTCGAAGCCTGCACCACCACACCCGGCAAAAGCTAATATTTATT